GGTTTCCAATTTTTCATTTCTCTTGTAAGATTATTCTTGTTGTGTTTTTGTTAATTCTTTTAAAGTTGTGTGTGTGTTCTAATAGCTTTCATCAAATAGTTCTGATACCATGTCGGTATTATATTTGCTGACTGTATTTTGGTTACTGGTTTGAGGCATTCTACTTTGTTTCTTCATGTAAGCTAAAGTTGTTTGTTTTCTCCAAGACCTTGTGGTGGTGTTTTTATATTAAATGATGATTGTATATTGGTGTGTTACTAGGAACTCACTATTTGTCTCCCAGTGGGTGTCGTAGGCACTGGAAGTGTGAACGTAGTTCTCTGTTCACTGTGTACCATTGTTCAGAGAGGGTTTTCTCTCCTCTGGAAGCAGGGACACTATGCCTGGTGCTATGCCTGGCGGAGCAGGGGGTGCCACGGACTACTGGGTTGTCGGGGGTGGGGACTCGCTATGCCCAGGCTACCAGGAGGGCACAGCAACAAGGGAGAACTGCACCCCCTTCCCCTTGCTGCTCAAAGGCACTGTATCCACAACCACTCGCGTGAGCTCATGTTGGCCACACCTTGCCACACTGGTCCACAGTTCACCTGTTTTTCTCTCTCTGCCTGTTAGCTTCCTCATCCAGTCAGCACTCAGTCTACCACCCTGTTCTATTTTCCAAAGCTCAGAGTTTCAGGATCACCGTGTGTGTCTGTCGCTCAGTCTCCCAAGTCTTGGATGCAGATGCTCTGCTCAGAGCTCTGCCTACTCCGCCATCTTGCCCTGGAAGTCTCTGTGTATTATCTTTGATTCTCACAACCTGAACGCTTGTGTGCTGCTCAGGTCTGGGGGGGTATCTGTCCTTAACGAAGCTCCAGACTCTGGAGGGGAGAGGAGGGCAGAGGGTGGAGAAGGCAGCCATATATAAACAGAGGCAAGCAGAGCCACTCAGGCTGTGACACGTGACCCAGGGGGCCATCGGATGGCTGCTGCTTGGAGAATCTGTTCCCCCTTCTGTGGGCCATGGAAGGGTTATCACGGGCCCAAGGGATACCCCTGGTCTCAGCACTGGAGCTAAACTGCTTAAAACTCCACAGTCCTTCAGCTTGCCACCCCAGAGCCCAACCCCTTCTCTGTCCCAATGATCCTACCTTCTGTGAGCTCCACCTCCCGGCAGGTTATAGTCAGGCCCAGCTGCTGCCTCTGGGAGGTCCCTTTCCAGAAACCTCCAGTGCACAGGCCCTTGGACAGTTGTAACTCTGGTAACATCTCCCAGTAGACTGGGTGGGACGCCCTGGGCCCAGAGGGCAGGGGTGGTCAGAGCCTAGGCTGACATGCAGTGCCCTCCTTGAAGGACCTTTCAGGTGAGGAAGGCGGACTGTCCATGGGAAGTCCAGCACCGGAAGAAGCAGCTGTCCCAGAGAGGTTTTAGCCTTCAGTGCCTTTGTGGTGCTGTGGGTTAATGCACTGGCCTGCAAAGCCTTTTGAACTGCAAGGTCGGTGGTTCAAGCTCACCAGGTGCTCCTTGGAAACCCTATACAGGGTCACTATGGGTCGGAACCGATTCGATGGCACTTAACAACCTTTGTCAGGCTGAGGTGGAGGTGCCTGGAGGGGCCCCTTGGGGTTTGCAGGACCTGTCTTAGTGTTGACCACAGCCTCCAGCTGGGGTCAAAACCTAAATCCCTCCCCTCAGCCAAAACCAGAGCTTAAGGCAGTGAAGCTGCTTCCTGTTTCGGGCCCAGACCAGATCCTCCTCGGGCCCCCACAAGGCTGCATCCTCCTCCACTTTGGCCACACCTCCTGCTGCCTCCAATCCAGAGTGCCTGGAGCGGGAAGGGGAAGCAGCTGGTGGAACTCACCCCTGCCCTCCCCTGAGGCTGTCAGAGGCCACTGCCGAGCTGTAAAAGATGCTGGCCTCAGTCCTGAGTAGAAGCCGCTTCCTCAGAGGGGCAAAGTAAGTGGAGAGCCCTCCTCCCGACCTGTCCTGGGCCTTAGCCAAGACCCCTGGTGTGAGGGCTGGGGACATCTGTGGGCCAGACCCTCCTGGGTCCAGCGACTAGGCAGGAGAACTGAAACTCCTAGGCTGGGGTGGGGGTGGGGGTACCATATCACAGGCTCCTTGTGATGCAGAGCTGGTCCTGGAACAATTCTGACTTGTCCTTGATGTCCAGGGATGTGGCCCTGAGTTAGAGGGATGGAGCCCACACCTCACTTCACTGCTGAGGGTGATTCTGGCTCCCACGTGGTCCCCTCCCCTGCTCTCAGAGAGGGAGGCTCCCGGAGGGGTATAGGGATGAGGCCATGGTCTCCCCACCCACAGGACCTAGCAGTGCTGCTGTGGAGCACCCTAATAACCACCCTTTGGGCTCCAGTCTGGAATGAGTAGGGCAGGGGTTTCCAGCTGTCTTTATCAGCAAAGATCCCCCGAGACCCCCAATGGCAAGTAGGCCGTGATAGGACTACTCAGAAAACTTCTGAGGATGCCAGGCTTGGAAGCGCCCAAGACCACTGAGGAGTGGGTGGAGAGAAGATCTTTAGTGGCACTGTGTGATTAGGGTTGGACTGCCAATCCCAAGGTTCAAATCCACGAGAGGAAGAAAACTGAAATAGGGTTACTCACTGGTGGTCATGATGATGGTATGTATATGCCGTGGAGTCGGTTTTGGCTCACAGCGACCCTGTATAGGATTTCCTAAACTGTGAATCTTTCCAAGGAGTCCTGGTGTCGTGCTGTGGGTTAATGCGCTGGACTGCAAAGTCGCTTTGAACTGCAAGGTGGGTTGTTCAAGTTCACCATCTGCTCCTTGGAAACCCTGTACATGATCGCTATGGGTTGGAACCGACTTGAAGGCACTTAGCAGTAACAACAAATGTTTACAGGAACGGAAAGCTACATTCCCTTCACCCACCCACCCCCCAAGCAACTGAGAGATTCGAACTGCTGACCTTGGAGTTAGCAGACTAGCTCATTTTCCACTAGGCTACCAAAAGGACTCATACAGGGCCACTTGGCGTCAGAATGGATTCAATGGCAGAAACTTCATTTAGTGGTTTATTTAAGTGGTTCATTTTTTGGTGGGCAAACAAAGCCTGCTGGTTGGGTGACTCATTGCTGGGTCTTCCACTGGCCCACTGAGAGAGGCAACAGTGATGAATGCGTGTGAATTTTCTGAGAGCCGAAGGGGTAGGTGCTTCCAGGCAGAAGAAGAGCATTCATTGCGGGCAGACAGGGACCGTGGGGGGGAGGGAGGTAGCCGCAGGGACTGTTTGAGGCAGAGGCCAGCTTCCTGCCGCCTGAGGCCATCACGGGTGGCTGATGAGGAGCAGCGTCTTGTCTGGTGGGTGGGTGGAGGAGTGAAGTGAATCATTATGTGTGTAGTCAGCACGGGGCGCTGGGGCGCAAGGTTGGGATGCGAGTCTGCCTGCGCCTCCGCAAAGGCACCTCTTCTCGTAGGACGGCTTAGCTCCTGCTTCTGGAGAGCCCCCACTGCCTGCCGCGGCCTGCGAGCCCTCCAGGTCTGCAGTGTGGGCTCAAGTTCAGGCGGCGGGGGCGGGCGATGACGTCATGGCTCCCAGTCCCGCCGCTTCCGCCGCCTCTCAGCCCTCCTCCTCCTGTCTTATCCCTTGGCCCTCACGCTCTCAGGGGGAACTCCTTTTTTTCTCTCTTCCTGGATGCGCCCCCCCCCCACTAGTGTGCTTCTAAACCCCAGCATTTTGTGCTGCCCCCCGCCCCCAGCTCCTCACTGCCATTCCCCTCCCCCCTCCAGCTCCCAAACAATGGGGAACTGGATCCTCTTAAAGGAACATGTCCCCACTATCACCCTCCTCACCTGGCCACCTGCTTGCTCCTGCCACTAAATGAACCCCAGCCTGAGGGCTTCAGTGGGCAGGCCAGCCGAGGTGAACAGGGGATGGGTACTCTGGTTGCATGGGGAGGGACCATCTCCCAGAGCCCAGTCTCTCCTATAGGATCCCTGTGGAGCCTGAGTCTGGGTGCCTTGGACAAGCACCCCAAGTGCTCACCACCTGGTGGTACAGTTCTAGATGCAAACCCTCATCCGTTCTCCCACATACCATGCCCATTGGCTTAAATCCACCTGCCTCACCTGCCCATGGAGGAGGGGGACATCTATCTGTTCTTTGGCCTCTGTGCATCCTGGCTCTTAGGGGTTGCTGGCCCCCACGCTACAGGCCACTAGTTGGGAAGAAATCAGACATGTAGGTAGGTCTTACTCTTACCCTAGCGGGGCTCCTGCCAGCCAGGCCTCCCTGGTAGCTTCTGTTGGTGATGCAGGGGTCTTGGAGGACAGCTTCACACTGGACCTCCCATAGGCCCGCCCTGCTCCTTCCAGGTAGCAGTTTTTCTGAGGGGAGACAGCTAAAGTGGGGTGGCCTTGAACTGCGTTCTTGGAACTAGGAGCACATGAAGGGCTAGTTGGTACCCATGAACCGCTGAGACTAGGCCTTGTCTTGACTTGATCCCTGCTGGTCCGCACTGGACTGAACTTGTACCTTGTATCTTAGTGGACTAGGAAATCACTGTGGGATCCTTGGTGTTCCTAGCTGTGTGTGCCTTTGGGCAATTCAAACCCTCAGAGACTCTCAGTCATCTGTAAAGTGAGTAAGCCACGCCTGCCTAGTGTGGTGCCTTGTGAGGACTGAGTAAACTCAGTCTAAGGAGCACACAGTTTCTAACTTCCTGGCTCCAATAGTTCACTGCCTCAACTCCCCCTCCTCAGTGTTCAGGGAGAGGAGGGAGATGCTCTCCTTAGAAGGGTGGGGCTTGGGTTTCGCTCCAGCCCTGATCCTAGGCTCCCAGCCCCCACTACTTGGTTGGTGGCCAAGAGCTAACTGCCCTTGAGGGACACTGGTGGAGCCAGACATGCAGAGCCACCGCGGGTGGTTGTACACTGCACAGAGATAAGCGCCTTGTGGCCCACCCCCAAAAGGCAAGCTGCTGCAGACTTTGGGGAGGGGTGGACGCAGGTGGTGCTCAGTGGGCACCCTCTTTCACCTAGGTGTTGTGAGTGCAGTGCCTCCCTTTCACACCAATACTACGAGAAAGATGGGCGGCTCTTCTGCCAGAAGGACTACTGGGCGCGGTATGGCGAGTCGTGCCATGGGTGCTCGGAGCACATCACCAAGGGGCTGGTCATGGTGAGTGGCCCTTCCTGGGACACGGCGGTGGGGTGGGGTGGGGTGACTCCCTCACAGGTGCCTTGTGATTCCCCGCTCTCTGGGCCTGTGAGCTCAGCAGACCACCCACCTAGCCACCCCCACCCTGCCTGATTTGCCCAGGGCTGTCCTGCTGAGGGGAGGGAGGCCCAGAGGAGGATCACTGGGGCTGCTAGCTGGGATTTCCGCTCCCTCAGGTGGCTGGGGAGCTAAAGTACCACCCCGAGTGCTTTATCTGCCTGACGTGTGGGACCTTCATCGGTGACGGGGACACCTACACGCTGGTGGAGCACTCCAAGCTGTACTGGTGAGAGCTCAGCTATCCTGCTCCATGTGGGGAGGTTGGAGGGATACAGTCACCAACATCCCTTTCCTCCATGGTATAGAAATGGCCTGAAATAAAACATAGGGAGAGCCCCGAATGTCTGCTCACTTACTGACAGAGCTGGATTTCAGCACAAGACTTGACCCCTTCTAGAAGGGCATGGCATGACCTCCTGAACAGAATTGCCCCAGAAGGGCCGAGCTGGGCATGCTCAGTTCCTGCTCCCAGTTCCATCTGTCAGCCAAGTCCAATGCCTGGGCTGGCAGATGGAGGACAGTGGTGGGGGACTGTGCTGATGTTTGTTTCTCTCCGCTCTGGCTCCTCACCACCTGTGGCCCTGCAGTGGACACTGCTACTACCAGACCGTGGTGACCCCTGCCATTGAGCAGATCCTGCCCGACTCCCCTGGTTCACACCTGCCCCACACCGTCACCCTCGTCTCCATCCCAGCCTCAACCCACGGCAAACGTGGTCTCTCTGTGTCCATCGACCCACCTCACGGCCTACCAGGCTGCGGCACTGAGCACTCCCACACCGTCCGCGTCCAGGGGTGAGTGGCTGGCCTACAGCAGGTAGGACTGTGGCCGTTGATGCTGTAGGTGGGTGGCTGACTCTGGTGCTGGGGGCCCTGAGAATGATATGGTACAGAACAAGCTGACTCTGACCAGCTGTGTACCATCGTGGTTCTGCCAGCTGTCAGATTTGCTAGAGGACATACAGAAAACATTCATTAATGCATATATGTATGACCCAGCAAGGAAGAGGAGAGGAGGACAGCAGGTCTGGAGTGAGTGAAGGAGGGAATCCAGGCTTATCAGAAACAATATAAAACAAATTTTACTCAGTATGTTTTAATACCCTTGAATTATGGTGTTGGCAAAGAATATTCAAAAGTCACATGGACTGCCAGAAGAACAAAGAAATATATCTTGGAAGAAGTAGATCCAGAGTGCTCCTTAGAAGCCAGAATGACGAGACTTTGTCTCTCATACTTTGGGCATGTTGTCAGAAGGGGCCAGTCCTTAGAGAAGGACATATGCTTGATGAAAAAGAAGGAAACCCCTAAGGAGATGGGTTAACACAGTAGCTGCAATAACGGGCTCTAACAAAACAATTGTGAGGATGGTGCTGGACCGGGTAGTGTTGTGTTCAGTTGTGCGTAGGGCGCTGTGCGTAAGAACAAACTCCTAACACCTAACGACAACAGTAACATGTTTTTAATACATTGCTAAGTGCTGTCTAGTTGGTTCCTACTCATGACGACCTTGTATATCTGATTTTCAAGAAGCAGCTGGTGGGTTTGAACCACCACCTTGTGGTTCAAGTTGACCTTGAGGTGCAGTGCTTATCCTACAGCGCCACTCCAAGACTCTCTTAAGTACATAAGAGAAGCGTAAAAACTGAGTAAAGAATAAATCTGGACAAGATTCAAAACTCTTAGGAGTGAAATATGTAATTACTATATTAAAATGAAAGGAACTCTGGTAGCGTAGTGGTTACAAGTCGGGCTGCTAACTTCAAGGTCAGCAGTTTGAAACTACCAGCTGATCCGTGGGAGAAAGCTGAGACTTTTCTGCTCCCGTAAAGACTTACAGCCTCGGAAATCCTATACAGGGTCACTATGAATTGGAGCTGACTCGATGGCACACCACCACCATATTATTAAAAGGAAAAGCTAAAGGCAAGATTTTAAAAGTAAAGAACGGTTTAGAACTCTTGAAGAGAAAACCAGACAGAATTTTATGAAAACTGTAAAAGGTTAAAATACAAGGGGGCTTCAAAAGTTTGTGGGAAATTTCCATTTTCTTTCCATGAACATTTTCCCTTTGTATATAGAGAATAGAGAAAGATCTAATAATCTATTGGGAATCCCAAATAGATAACTGGGAAGAGGCAGTGTTTGAAGACATAATGACAGAACTTCCAAGCACTGATGATAGACACCAATTCATTTCTCCACCTGGTACATCCTGAACAGCAAAATAAAAAATCCACCCCTCAATACTAGTACTCCAAAGGCTAAATAAAGAAAAGACTTTGAGAGCTGCCTTGTAGCTCAGAGGCAGGAAGGGACAGGAAAGAAGGACATATGGAAAGGGAAATCGGAAGAATGCTGTTACCATTGTTTATTACATTGTTAAAATCAGTGTCATGAAAAAACTATGAACTGCTAAATGGAAAACTAACTTCTCTGTAAGGTTTCACCCAAATCACAATAAGAAGTGAAAAAAATAAGAATGCCCCCTCCCCAAAATAGACAAATTCCCTTCAAAGAAAGGACACTTTAGGCTAAGTACAGACTTCCCAACAAAAACAATGCAAGTTAGAAAACAATGAAATGATACCTTGAATGCGCTAAATGAAACTCACCATCAATCTAGGATTTCTTGAAAAACACTCTTCAAGCACCAAAAAGATATCTTTGGGTAATATGGGTTTGGTTTCTTGATTCGAAGGTTTGGGGTCATGGTTTCCTGGGATAGCCCAGTTAATTGGCCAAATAACACATTTAGTGATTTTGTTCGACCTCCTAGTTCATTGTGTAGTTCCTGGGATCTGAAAAGGTTGTAACCCAAGGTTCAACAACCGCTGTACAGGGTCGCTATGAGTCAGAACCGACTCGACGGCACTTAACAACAATGTATTAAAACATATAGTTTTGACTTGTTTTTTTTCATGTTTTCAATTTGCTTCCAGAACGTCACACAGCTCTGAAAACTGTATGAAGCCATTTTACTTTGCATATGTGGGGTCAGAATCCTCTCAACAACTAACAACATTCCTTTCCTTAGGCGGTTGTGTGCCGTCGAGTTGGTTCTGACTCAGAGCGACCCTGTATAGGGTTTTCAAGCGTGGCTGGTGGGTTTGAACCACCGACCTGTGCTTAGCAGTCATGCCAGGGCTCAGTACTTGAGGTTTTCTTCATAAAAGCAAGGGCATTCTCCTATTTAACTATCAGTTACTGTATTTAATAGTACAATTATCACTAACATTGATAGAATTCAATACTGCTCTTCATAGATGGGTGACACAGACATTTATTAAAGCCTCGACTACTCAGTGGGAGTCTGCACCTGTCTCAGAAAACAGACGTGGCGATCTGCATCCCAAAGGTCACAGCCCTGAGAACCTTGGGGCACAGTTCTACCCTGACATACGTGGGGTAGTCATGAGTCAAATGGATTCATTGGCAGCTATCAACCACACTTTACATATTTGAATTTTAATACTAGCAGTCTCCATACATTTCTCTTATAGCACTTCTTCCCTCCCCCTGCCACACACGGTCCAATCAGGAGCCTACACAGCGTGTGATTGCCAAGTCTCTTGGGTCTCTTGTTATTTGTGTTGTTAAGTGCTGTCGACTCATAGCAACCCTGCATAGCGGGTGGTCCTGCCAAGGCAGCCACCGTTCCAGCCATCACGTTGTTGTTAAGTGCTGTCGAGTTGGTTCATACCACCCTGTATACGATTTCCAAGGAGCAGCTGCTGAGTTTGAACTGCTGGCCTTGTGGTTCAAACCAACCTTGTGGTCAAGAACTTATCCTACAGTGCCACACCAGGACTCATTAAGTGCTGTTGAGTCAATGCTCATGACTCATAGTGAACCTGTATAGGGTTTCCAAGGAGTGGCTGGTGAATTTGAACCACAGACCTTGCAATTCAGACTGACCTTGCAGTCCAGTGTATTATCCCACAGCGCTACACCAGGACTCCAACCATCATGTTGTTGTTGTTAAGTGCCGTCGAGTCGATTCTGACTCATAGCGACTCTCTGTAGGGTTTCCAAAGAGCAGCTGGTGAGTTGAACCCCCGACCTCAGGTCAAGAGCTTATCCTACAACACCACACCACAACACCACACCAGGACTTGTTAAGTGCCATTGAGTCGGTTCTGACTCATAGCGAGCCTTTAAGGGTTTCCAAGGAGCTGCTGGTGCATTTGAATCTCCGACCTTGCAGTTCAAACCGACCTGCCACAGCACCGCACCAGAACTCACGTTGGCGTTAAGTGCCATCGAATTGGTTCCAACCCATGGTGGTCATGGTGATGTGCCGTGAAGTCATTTCTGACTCAGAGTGACCCTGTACAGGGTTTCCGAGGCTGTAAATCTTGATGGGAGCAGAAAGCCTCGTCTTTCTCCCGTGGAACAGCTGGTAGTTTCGAACTGCTGACCTTGCGGTTCGCAGCCTGATTAATAACCACTACGCTACCAGAGCTCCTGTATGCACAGCACCGCACCAGAACTCAACATTGTTAAGTGCCATCGAGTTGGTTCCAACCCATAGCAACCCTGTATAGGGTTTTGAGGCTGTAAATATTTTACGGGGACAGAAAAGCTTCATCTTTCTCCTGTGGAACCGCTGGTAGTCAAACTGCTGACCTTGAAGTTATGGCCTGATTCATAACCACTAAGCTACCAGAGCACCTTGCATAACTCACAATGTTGTTGTTGTTAATTGCCGTCAGTCAATTCCGACCCACAGCGACCCTGTATAGGGTTTCCAAGGAGCAGCTGGTGATCTTGAACTGCTGACCTTGCAGTTCAAATGGCTGTGCATTCTGGCACATTAGCCCACAGTGCCACACCAAGACTCCTATAAATCACATTGTTGTTGTTGTTAAGTGCTGTCAAGTCGGTTCTGACCCATAGTGACCCTGTATAGGATTTCCAAGGAGTAGCTGGTGGGCTTGAACCACCGACCTTGCAGTTCGAACTTTGCAGTCTGGTGCATTAACCCACATCGCCACACGTTGTTGTTAGGTGCCATCGAGTCAGTACCGACGCATAGCAACCGTGTGCACAACAGAATGAAGCACTGCCCGATCCTGGGCCAATTTCAGTATTGTTGCCACGCTTGAGTCCATCGATGCTGCCACTTGGCCAATCCATCTCATTGTGGGTCTTCCTCTTTTTCTCTGACCCTCCATCTTACCAAGCATGACATCCTTCTCCAGCGACTGCTCCCTTCTGACAATATGTCCAAAGTATGAGAGACAAAGCTTAGCCATCCTGGCCTCCAAGGAGCACTCTGGCTGCACTTCTTCCAAATCGGATCTATTGGTTCTTTTGGCAGCCCATGGCACTTTCAATATTCTCCTCCAACACCATAACTCAAAGGCATCAATTCTTCTACAGTCTTCCTTATTCACTGTCCAGCTTTCGCTTGCATCTGAGGTTATTGAAAATACCATGGCTTGGGCCAGGCGCACCTTAGTCCTCAAGCTGACATCTTTGCTCTTCAACACTTTAACAGAGATTTTGTGCAGCAGATTAGGGGTGAGTTAATTAAATGTTTGACTGAATATAGTAGACTAATTTTTAAGTTGGTATATTTTGTATGGCCCTTGGCAGAAAAAAGGTTCCCCACCCCTGCTGTGTAGGGTTTCCAAGGAGCGACTAGTGGGTTTGAACTGCCAACCTTGTGGTAAACAGTCCATCCCTATCCTTCAACATCACACTAGGACTCTGACTCTGACCGGTCTATAGCCTCATCCTCATCTGTCATGCCCTTGCCATTTTTGAAGAGTACTTGGCCAGTTGGTAAGTTCCCTCATTTTGGATGGCCTGACTCTTCCTCTTGGGTAGATTTAGCTTCTGTGTTTTGGGAAGGACGCTATGGAAGCTCCTCAGATGGCACCTGCTGTCGGTGTACCAGGTGCCCAATTGGGTCCAGTTTCTCTGCTGTAAAGGGGCTTCTCCTGGTGTGGCGCTGTAGTATCCGCGCTGGACTGCAACTCACAAGGTCAGCAGTTCCAGCCCACAGGCAACTCCTTAGAAACCCTGTACAGAGTTGCTATGAGTCGGAACCACATAAAGGAACTTAACAACAACAGTAATTAATTGGTGAGGAGATTTGCTCCCCAGTCGGCTCCCCTGTCATCCTTCACCAAATGCTTCTAGCATCCATTGTGGATGGCTGTAAAATGCTCCTGTCTGCCTGCTGTTATCCTCCTGCTCTTACTAGTTAGCTTCCCACAGTAAGGGAGCGCTGTTCGTCAGGAAGAAACATACTGTACGATGATTGTGAATCTTGCCCTCTCTACCCTGCCCTGCCCTCCCTCCTAATCGGCCTCACATCTCATGGAGCTAAAAATCCCAAACCTGACCCACTACCATCGAATCAACTCCGAATCATAGCGACCCCCTAGGACAGAGTAGAACTGCTCCAGAGTTTCTGAGGCTGTCATCTTTACGGGAGCAGACAGCCTCAGTGGTCTCCCATGGAGCAGCCGGTGGGTTTGAACTGCCGACCTTGCTGTTAGCCCACTTCTTAACCCACTGTGTCACCAGGACACTGGTGGGGAGCTTGGCAGACACAAAGCAAACATTGCTTAAAAAGTTTGTCTGAATATAAAATGAAAAACCAAGTAAGTAAAATGAAAGGGTTGAAGTAAGCAAGTAAATTTGACCAACTGAGAGTCAGCTTTTGGACCCAGCTAAAAAAGTCCTGGTGTGGCGCTGTGGGATAGAGCACACTAGACCACAAGTTGGGCAGTTCAAACTCACCAGCCACTTCTTGGAAACCGTATACAGTGTCACTGTGAGTTGGAACTGACTCGACAGCACTTAACAACCATAAATAAGGAAGGAGCCTCAGAGCAAGAGTCTGCTGGCCCTTTGTTGCCAATTCAGGAAAAATGAGCACTTTAGTCAACCTCTTCCTTGTAGGGAGAGTGTGAGCTCAGGTGGAAAGTCAGGGGATTCAGACCTGTTTAGGAGGCATTTTACCTTGACCTTCATCTGCCCCAAGCATACCTGGCAGGCTCCATCTTTCCCACGGTAGAGACAGTGTTCTATTGAAGAAGCTGACCATCTAGTCTGGGCCAGTAAAGAGCCAGAAGCATGTCACCTTTCTCCAATATCACACCCATGGCAGACATGAGTAATCCATAACAGAGCTCTCACCACTGAACCAGAGCTCAGCCTTCTGGACAGTTGCAACCTGCAGTTCGTGCAAGACCACCCCCTCCCCGCTGGCCTGTTGGGGATCGGTCTGACCTCTACTCTGTGCCCACAGAGTGGACCCAGGCTGTATGAGCCCAGATGTGAAGAATTCCATCCACATTGGAGACCGGATCCTGGAAATCAATGGCACCCCCATCCGGAATGTTCCCCTGGATGAGGTACAGAGTCCTGAGTCTGGGGAGCAAGACTGAAGGTCTTGAGTCTGGGGAGTAAGACTCACCTGCCCACACCTGCTCTCCCCAGATTGACTTGCTGATCCAGGAAACGAGCCGCTTGCTCCAGCTGACTCTTGAGCATGACCCCCATGACACTGTGGGCCACGGAGCAGGGCCTGAGCCCAGTCCCCTGGGCTCCCCAGCTCACACTCCCAGCGGGGAGGCAGGCAGCACAACCCAGCAGAGACCTGTCCTGTAAGTCCTCATGCTCCTGGCTTCACAGGCTCTCAGACAGAAACAGGAACTGCAGTCTTAAGGGGACTAAGAAAGGGTACTAGGACGCACCGCCCCCTGGTGGCGAGCTACAGCAATCACTGCTGGGGCCCTGCCTTAGGCTGATAGCTGGGATAATGGAAACATTTATGGTGGTGGGCAGAGTTCCATAGAAAAGAAAGAAAAAACATAGACACACGAAAATTACACACAGAAAAACTCACTGTCATAAATGCACGCATGGAGAAATTTCCACAGGGCAAATTGCTCACGGGATGGCTGAGTGTAAAAATGCCCTCCCAGAAAAAGTCTCAGTCACAATGCTATAAATAAACTCGGACCCTAGCTCGAATGCTAACCCTGCCTTCTATACTATGAAAATTTCTGTGTATTTTTCTGTGTGGACATTTTTCTTGGATGTGTTTAGGACTGGGGAATGTTTTATGTGTGCTTTTTTTTCTGGCTGGGGTGGGGAGAGGCGGTCTGAGGCTGAAGACTAGGGCCTGCATCTAGTCTGCTCCTCACCTGTGATTCTGAAGTAGTCACAGAGCCTTACATTTGGCAGAGGTAGTCTGGTAGCCCGTGGGGAGGCCCTAGAGGGGGTATACCCCAGGAGCCTGCCAGAGGTGACTGCTCTGGTCCAGGGGACAAAAGGAAGAATGCCAGTGAGAGCCTGGTCTCACTTCATTACTGTGGGATCTGCTTGGGACACCTTATGAGGTGACAGCCCATGAAATATTGATGGGGTGCATCTCTTCACCTGTATCCTGAGCCCTGGGCCAAAGCGTCAAGGAGACCAAGGACCAACCCCAGCACCCTCTCCCTTAACATGGAAGTGGGGCAGGGCTGGAGGGAGCCAGATCAAATGAGAGGCTGGGGCTCGGGGCACCAGAGGGAGCATGGCAGCCAGGGAGGAAGAAGGTCCCTGCCTCCCTGGGGGCACTGGGCTCAGTGTGTGCCCCCGGCAGGCGGAGCTGTAGCATCGACAGGTCTCCAGGTGCCGGCTCGCTGAGCTCCCCCGCTGCCCTGCGCAAGGACCTGGGCCGCTCCGAATCCCTCCGCGTGGTCTGCCGGCCTCACCGCATCTTCCGGCCCTCGGACCTCATCCACGGGGAGGTGTTGGGAAAGGGCTGCTTCGGCCAGGCCATCAAGGTATGTCTTCATGGTGCCCCACATAAATCTTGGACTTGCTTCCAGTAATTTCATTCTTTTTATCTGATTGTTCTTCTAGCTTAATAGTGTTGAGAGATTTAAGCTCACTAATCCGGGTTTCCATTGCTTCAGATCCGCTCCTTTGCCCTTTCAGTGAGTTGTCGGTATCTGAGATCCTAGTGTTAATCCTCTGAATTTCTATTTGCAGGTTCTGTAGTAGTTCAAAATCTGCATTTATTCTGACTGTAATGTTTTTGTAATGTTTTCCGAAATTCTTTTAAAGCATTTTCTGTGTTCTCCTTGCTTTCTTCAATCTTTCTGTCAATCCGTTCAACGTACCTAAGTATTATTCTTTTGAATTGCTTCTCAGGTAGTTGCATTACCTTTTTTCCTCAGAAACATTTTCTGGCTCTGCATCTTGATTATTTGTTTGAGCCATTCTCGTGTTTCTTCATGTGAGCTAAAATGACCTGTTGTCTCCGGAACATTGTGGTGTTTCTTGTGTTTTTATTTAGGTTCTCACTGGTTATATATTGGTGTATTCTTGGGTTCTCACCAGCTGTCCCCTGGTGGACGTGATGAGAGAATGGAAATGTGTGCACTGGTTTCCATTTGCCAGCTTTGCAGCTCAGTTTAGGGTGGGTTTGGATGGTGTTGGCTGATGCCTACCATTGATCAGGTGGTATAGGAGCTGCTATTGGCTCTTGTCCAGTGGGTGGAGCTGCAGAGGGCGTGGTTGCGGTTGAGCTGTACGGATGTTGCTATCTCCCGTCGGATAGGTCAAGAGGAGAAAACACAGGGAAACAAAACATAACAAGCAAACAGCAGCAAAAACAGACAGCAACAAGAAAAAAAAATATATAATAACTTACAAAACATAAGAGGGACAAGAAAATAGAACTGTGCAAGAGAAAACAAAAGGAAAAGAAAAAAAATAAACCGGGATGATGAAAAAAGAGACTAGAAAATAGTAAAGAAAAAGGAAAAGAAGAAGAGGGTAGAAATGAGACAGAAGTAAACACAAGACCAGAGCTAGCTAGGATAAAAACCGAGGGAAGAGAAGGAGAGGAAAAAAGAAGAAGAAA